GAAAGATGGAGAAATGGAAAAACCGAAAAGACGAAAAATTCAAAATTCGAAAATCCAAAAGTTCTAAAACTGGAAAAATCGAATATTTGAAAAATCTAAAAATGGGAAACTAGAACAATCGAAAAACAAAAACCCTAAAAATAGAGATATCGAAAAATCAACACATCACAAAATCAAATAATCAAAAAATCGAAATATCGAAAAATCAAATGACTGAAAATTCGTAAAATTAAAAAATCGAAAATCAGGAAACCAAAAAACGGAAAATTGAGAAATCGATAAATTAAAAATACATTTGAAAAATCGAAAACCAGAAACCGAAAAATAGAAAAACTAAAAACCATAGAATCGAAAATTCGAACAATCGAAAAGTCGATATATTGAAAAATCAAAAAATCTGGAAAAACTGATGACTGGAAAAATCGAAAATTAGGGCAATCGAAAAATCGAAAAAACGAATAATCGGAAGATTGAGAAGTCTAGAAACAGAAAAGAAAATTCGAAAAAAGGAAACAATGAGAATTCGAAAAATCGAAAAATTATAAAATTCAAAAATCAAATACTGGAAAAATCGAATAATTGAAAAATCTAAATATAAGAAAATAGAAAAATCGAAAAAGATAACACCAAAAAATAGAGAAATCGAAAAATGAAGACATTAAAGAATCTAAAAATCAAAAATCGAGAAATGGAAAAATCAAAATATTTAAAATTCGCGAAATTGAAAAATCGAAAATCCAGAAACCAAAAAATCGAAAATTGAGAAATGGAGAAATTGAAAATAGAGCAAACGAAAAATCGAGAATTAAGGATACGAAAAATCAAAAATTCAAAAATCGAAAAATTGGACCTATGAAAAACGAAGAATTCGAAAAATCAAAAAAATGCAAAAACCCACAATCGAAAACCCAAAAATAAAGAAATCGAGAAATCCAAAAATAGAAAAATCGAATAATCAAGAAATAAAGGAAAACTGAGGAATCGAATAATTGAAATTTGGAGCAATCGAGAGATCGAAAAAACGAAAAATCGGGAGATTGAAAAGTCTAGAAACTGAAAAGAAAAATCGAAAAAACCAAAAATCAGAGATCGGAAGATCGAAAAATTATAAAACTCTAAAATCAAAAACTGCAAAAATCGAATAGTTGAAAAAACTAAAAATGAGAAAATGGAAAAATCGAAAAACAAAAAACCAAAAAATAGAGAAATCGAAAAACGAAGACATCAAAAAATCTAAAAATCAAAACAGTTAAAGTCCCAAAACTGAAAAACCAAAAAATAGAAATATCTAGAGAAATCGAGAAATTGAAAATAGAACAATCGAAAAACTAAAAAACCTAATCATAGAGAATTAAGAATACCTAGGAAAAATGGAAAAATAAAAAAATCGAAACATCTAAAAACTGAAATGCAAATGATAAAAGTCGAAAAATTGAGAAATCGAGAAATATAAAAACCGAAATATAGAAAAATCTAAAATTCGAAAGATAGAAAAATCTAAAAATCAAAAAATCGAGGAAAACCAAAGAATCGAAAAATCGAAAATTCGAGTAATCGAGAAATCGAAAAAACGAAAAATTGAGAATTCGAAAAATCGAAAAAATATAAAATTCGAAAACCAAAAACTTGAAAAATCGAATGGTTGAAAAATCTAAAAAGAAAAAATTAAAATAGAAAAAACAAAAAACCAAAAAATGTAGATATAGAAAAATCAAGACATCAAAAAATCGGAATATCAAAAATCGAGAAATCGAAAAATCAAAACAGTGAAAATTCACAAAATTGAAGAATTGAAAATCGAGAAACAAAAAATCGAAAATTGAAAATAGAGCAATCGAAAAATCGAAACTAAAAAACCAAAAAATCGAGAATATAGAAGAATACGAAAAATCGTAAATTCTAAAAATCGAAAAACTGAACCAAGACAAAAACAAAGAATTCGAAAAATCAAAAAAATCGGGAAATCGAAAAGCCGAGAAATCGACAAAACTTAAAATGGAAAAATTCAAAAAACTGAAAAGTCTATAGACGGAAAAATCGTAAAAAACTGAAATATTGAAAAGTCGAAAAATTAAAACATTGAAAAGTGGGCAAAATTGAAAAATCGGGAAATCCAGAAATTGAAATGTATGAAAATTAGAGAAAATTTGAAATCGAAAAACTGAAAAATGGAAAATTCGAAAAATTGAATTATAGAAAAAACGAAAATTCGAAAAAGAAAAAAATCTAAATATTGAAAATTGGGAAATATAAAATCGAAAAATCGCGATTTTCTGAAATTGAAAAATTGATAAGTAGAAAAGTTATTGCAAAATGGGAAAACTAAAAAATGTGGAAATCCAGAAATTGAAAAATGAAATAATCGATAAATCGAAAATTCGAAAAATCGTAACATTGAAAAATTGAAACCTCGAAATATCGAAAAGTCAAAAAACGAAAAAAGTAAATATTGTAAAAATTGAAAAATCGGGAAATGGAAAAATCAAATAATCGAAAAAATGAAAAATTCGGAATTCGAAAATTCGAAAAATTCTAAAATTTGAAAACCAAAAACTGGAAAAATCTAAAATTTAAAAAATCTGAAAATGAGAAAATAGAAAAATCGAAAAACAAAAAACCATATAATAGAGAAATACAAAAAATTAAAACAACTAAAAATAGAAAAATCAAAATAGAGAAATCGAAAATTCAAAACTTTGAAAATTCGCTAAACGAAAAATCCAAAATCGAGAAACCAAAAAATCGAGAAATTGAAAACAGAGAAATCGATAAATCGAAAAACTCAAAAATTAAGAATACGAAAAATGGAGAATTAAGAATACGAAAAATGGAAAAATTGAACCAATCAAAAACCGGAGAATTCAAAAAATCAAAAAAATGGAAAAGTGTAAAAACTGAAAATTAAATAAGTTGAGAATTCTAAAATTAAAGAAATCGAGATCTCTAAAAATAGAAACATCGAAAAGTAGAAAAATCGAAAAATCAAAAAATCAAGAAAAACTGAAGAATCGAATAATCGAAAATTCGAGCAATCGAAAAATCGTAAGATTGAAAAGTCAGATTCTGAAAAGAAAATTCGAAAAAACGACACGTTGAGGGTTCGAAAAATCGAAAAATTATAAAACTCGAAAACAAAAAACTGGAAAAATCGAATAGTTGAAAAATCTAAAAACGAGAAAATAGAAAAATCGAAAAACAAAAAACCAAAAAAATTGAGAAATCGAAAATTAAGAAATCGAGAAATTGAAAATAAAGGAACCGAAAAATTGAAAAGCTAAAATACCGAAAAATGAAGAATTAAGAATACGAAAAATCGAAAAATTTAACCAAGCAAAAACCGGAGAATTAAAAAAAATTAAAAAAATGGAAAAGTGTAAAAACTGAAAATTAAATAAGTTGAGAATTCTAAAATTAAAGAAATCGAGATCTGTAAAAATAGAAACATCGAAAAGTCGAAAAGTCGAAAAATCAAAAAATCGAGGAAAACTGAAGAATCGAATAATCGAAAATTCGAGCAATCGAAAAATAAAAAAAAAACGAAAAATCGTAGATTGAGAAGTCAGAAACTGAAAAGAAAAATCGAAAAAATGACATGTTGAGAGTTAAAAAAATGGAAAAATTATAAAACTCGAAAACAAAATACTGGAAAAATCGAATTATTGAAAAATGTAAAAATGAGAAAATAGAAAAATCGAAAAACAAAAAACCAAAAAATAGAGAAATCGGAAATTCAAGACATCAAAAATCGAAAATCGAGAAACCAAAAAATCGAAAATTTAGAAATCGAGAAATTGAACATAAAGCAACCGAAAAATTGAAAAGCTAAAATACCGAAAAAACCAGAATTAAGAATACGAAAAATCGGAAAGTCTAAAAACTGAAAAATAAGGAAATGGAGAAATTAGAACATGGAATCGTAAAATTGAGAAATCGGAAAGTCTAAAACTGAAAAGACAAGTCGAGATCGATAGACCTAGAAATTGGAAAATTGAAAAACCGAAAAATCGAAAAAGTCAAAAAATTGAAAATTCAGTAAACGAAAAAAGTCAAAAAGTCGAGAAGTGGATAATTTAAAAAGCCAAAATACCAAAATATCGGGAAATCTTGAAATTGAAACATTGAAAAATTGGGAAAATCTAAAAATCGAGAGAAGAAAAAATAAAAAAAATCGAACAATCAAAAAATTGTGAGAATTCGAAAATTCAAAATGTGGAAAGATCTAAAAATGAGAAAACGGAAAAATAAAAAATCGAAAAATCAAAACATCGAAAATTCGCAAAATTGAAACATTGATAATTTAGAATTCGAAAAATCGAAAATTCGAAACTTTCTACACCCCTGAACTACTTACATTAAAACATATCGGGTATTTACATTTCCAAGTTCCATAAAACATTTTGAATACGAAAGAGGTGATAAGACGAACTTATCTATTGTAGACCATATATAATTCCATATAATGATTTTAAAACTTGAAGATAAGATTACTTCATCGTAGGCTCTTGTTATTCAACGTATTATTAAAGTAATATCTTTATTGTATAAGTTTTGTTTACGGAAAGGATATCACAAATGTGAATTTCCGGTGCACAAATAAGTTCATCATTTGTATCCATAAATGCAAACATACTTTGAATACAAATTCACAAATAAATGAAAACTCAAAGTACTATTATATGTATATCTAGTCTTTGACTCCAGTTTCGTAACATGTCATTAAACTTGACTTTCACCACATAGGTACCGATCGACCGATCTCTCAACCATCAAGTAAAACTATCACCTAGAGAAGAAAACTCTCGAATACATGCAGCAAAAACTGCACTGGTATGGAGTACCGATAACCAAATTTCAACAACTCATTGTTAATTCACCTTTGCCCCCAAACTAACAACAATGGATACTCAAAAGATAAACAAACACACGAAAATGCGATAAATCTTTCTGCATGTCATACATAACATAACTCGTCTTACATCACGTGATAAATATTTACCTATTATGAATCAACTTTCATTTCACCGGTATCAACTTGACCAGCGTACCAGTGTTGTTTTCGAATTCCGACTTTAACCTTAATAACAATATTTTATCTATGTTGTTTAGTTTTTAACCTTCGCAAACAGACAGTCATTAACCATTTGAAAAACAAACCGTCGACTAACATGTTGCCTGTGTTACCTGATTTTCCCGCTGGCCCTTTGGACTTTTACCGCAAAAGGGCATCCTTTGACTGGAAAAAATTAAAAACCTTCATCGAAACGGAAGAAGTGGTCAAATTCCAAGTAATATTCATCTCTACTTTAATCACCACACACCAATGATTTTTGTGTTTGCAGAACGACCTACTCAAGGTACTCCAGGCAAATCCGGTGTTCCATGATGATCACACCCACCAAACCCTGGACGAACAAAGGCACAAGACCCTTCAACGGGCATTTTCTATAGCCGACGTCGACCTTTCCTCGATCAGTACCAGCAAACTAAACCTCTCCCAGAGGCAACTCGAGACCCTAAGGACCATGGCCCAGCTGAGTCCCGAATCCTGTGCCAAACGCATTGCAGGAGAACTATTCACAAACGCTCTGGCAATTCAAGGTACCGAGAAACACCGCAAGTTCATTCACGACATAGAAACTAGAAAGGTTGTTGACAGTCATGGTAGTACCTAGTAGCTGTAATCATGGTTGCGTTTTCAGATACATGGGTGTTTATGTATGACCGAAATCGGGCATGGTAGTTACACTAATGGTATGAGGACCACCGCAACCTACGATAAAGATAAACGGGAGTTTGTGTTGGATACCCCGGATTTTCAGGCCGCTAAATGCTGGGCCGGGTGTCTGGGAAAAGTGTCCACCCATGCTGTCGTGTATGCACAGCTTTATATCGATGGTATGCATTATGGGTTGCAGGGATTCGTGGTACCGATTAGGGATCCGAAGACTTTGTTGCCGTTTGTTGGAGTCACGGTGGCGGATATGGGCGAGAAAATTGGGCTCAATGGGATCGATAATGGGTTTGTTTATTTTGAATTGTCCTTGTAGTAATAATAGGTAAATTTGAAACAGTTTTGTTTAATGGGTTCTGAAAAAATCCTAAAAGTTTAAAATGGGTCTAATGGAGCTTGAAGAAATACCGTTTTTGGAGATTTTTTCACAAAATTTCCAAAAAATTCTGAAAAATCCTGAAAAAATGTAATTGAAAAGAAATTTAGAATTTCTCGTGAATTACAACTTTGAAAACGGTGTTGAGATATTCCTTCAATTAAGGAAGAAATTTCGTTAAAAATTTCCAAAAAGAAATCAGTCATCTTTTGAATCAAAATTTTCAAAAATTTCTGAAAAATTATTTAAAAATCTATAATTGATGTCAACTCATTGAGAATAATTGGTAAACCACAAATCAAAAATCGTGCTTGCGCTACTTCTTAAAATTATCAAGAAATTCGAATTCAAAATTTCCAAAATTTTTCGAAAAATTCTGTAAAATCGTTTCAATCGAGCAGAAAATAATACTCTCCCCTAGAGAATTTTCAAAATATGACGAATTCAAGATAACTGTTGCGCTATATCTTTAAACAAACTAGAAATTCTGATTCAAAATTTTCAAAATTTCATAAAAATTCTTCAAAAAATGTGTAATTAATTGAAAATTGATACCGATGGCTGTTGCAATTTTCCGTAAAATAATAAAAAAAAATCAAACTCAAAATTTCCAAAATTTTTCGAAAAACTTTTTAATTTGGAATTAATCGAAAAGAAAAGAATGCCCTCTTATTGAGAATTTTCCATAGGTGACGAATTTAAGTTTACTGTCGAGATAAGTCTCCAAATGAGCTGGAAATTCTGATCCATATTTTTTCAAAATTTCAGGAAGAGTTCTTAGAAAATTTGTAAATAAGTGGAAATTGATGCCAACTTATAAGAATTGTTAGTAAATTACACATTTGAAATAGCTGCTGCAATTTTTCCTAAGATACTAAAAAATATCGAACTAAAAATTTTCAAAATTTTCCGAAAAACTTTTTAATTTGGAATTAATCGAAAAGAAAAGGATGCCCTCTTGTTGAGAATTTTCCTTAGATGACGAATTTAAGTTTACTGTCGAGATAAGTATTCAAATGAGCTGGAAATTCTGATCCAAATTTTTTCAAAATTTCAGGAAAATTTTTTAGAAAATTTGTAAATAAGTGAAAATTGATGCCAACTCACTGAGAATTTTTAGTAAATTGCAAGTGTCAAATAGCTATTGCAATTTTTTCTAAAATACTAAAAAAAATTGAACTAAAAATTTCCAAAATTTTCCGAAAAACTCTTTAAATTGGAATTAATCGACGGGAAAAAATGCCCTCTGATCGAGAATTTTCGATAGATGGCGATTGTGCGACCTCTATCGAGGCACGTCTTCAAATGAGGTGGAAATTTTGGTTCAAATTTTTCCAAAATTTCAGGAAATTTTTTTAGAAATTTTGTAAATAAGTTGAAATTGATGACAACTTACCGAGAATTTTTAGTAAATTGCAAATTTGAAATAGCTGTTGCAATTTTTCGTAAAGTAATAACAATAATTCAAAATCAAAATTTCCAAAATTTTCCAAAAAACTCTTAATTTGGAATTAATCGAAAAGAAAAGGATGCCCTCTTGTTGAGAATTTTCCTTAGATGACGAATTTAAGTTTACTGTCGAGATAAGTCTTCAAATGAGCTGGAAATTCTGATCCAAATTTTTTAAAAATTTCAAGAAAATTTTTTAGAAAATTTGTAAATAAGTGAAAATTGATACCCACTCACTGAGAATTTTTAGTAAATTGCAATGTCAAATAGCTATTGCAATTTTTCCTAAAATACTAAAAAAAATCGAACTACAAATTTCAAAAAATTTTACGAAAAACTCTTTCAATTGGAATTAATCGACGGGAAAAGAATGCCCTCTGATAGAGAATTTTCGATAGATGGTGAATGTGTGATCTCTATCGAGGCACGTCTTCAAATGAGGTAAACATTTTGGTTCAAATTTTTTTAAAATTTCGGGAAAATTTGTTAGAAAATTAGTAAATGCGTGGAAATTGATGCCAACTTACTGAGAATTGTTAGTAAATTACACATTTGAAGTAGCTGCTGCGATTTTTCTCAAAATAATAAAAAAATTTGAATTCAAAAGTGCCAATCATTTTCCGAAAATTTATTTAAATGTATTAATCGAAAAAATAAAGGATGTTCTCCCAGTGAGAATTTTCTGTTGATGACGAATTTGAGTTGACTATTACGGCACGTCTTCAAATAAACTAGAAGTTCTAGTTCAAAAATTTTCAAAATTTCAGGAAAATTGTTTAAAAAATGTAGGACAAAATTGTGTAGAAAATATATGTAATGGAAATTAATGCCAACTTAACGAAAATTTAAACTAAATGCTAAAATCTATCTTAAAACAAAAAAATCGAATCCAAAATTTTTAAAAATTATCCGAAAATTTTATTAAAGTTTTTCAAAATTTCGAGAACATTTTTTTTTAATTGGAATCAAGTGGAATTTTTTGCCAACTTATTGAGAATTGTTAATAAATTATAAATTTGAAATAGCTATTACAATTCTTCTTAAAATAATCAAGAAATCTGTTTTGAAAATTTTCAAAATTTTCCAAAAAACTCTCTAAATTGGAATTAATCAAAGGGAAAAGAATGCCATTCCGTTGAGAATTTTCCGTAGATGACGAATTTGAGATCGCTAGTGCGATATTTCTTAAAATATTCACTAAAATATATAGAATTCAAAATTTCCAAAAATTTTCCGAATTTTTTTTAAATAGACTAAATCGAGCAGAAAAAACGCTATATCGCGGAGAATTTTCACTTGATTACAAGTTTGAGATCTTTGGTACGTCTTCAAATAAACTAGAAATTGTAGTTCCAAATTTTTCAAAATTTCAGTAATATCCTTTAGAACATTGGTAATTAAGTGAAGATTGATTCCAATTTACTGAGAATTTCTACTAAATTAAAAATTTGAAATAGCTGCTGCCATTTTTCTTAAAATAATACAAAAATTCGATTTCATAATTTCCAAAAAATTTTCGAAAAACTATTTAAATTGGAATTAATCGAAGGGAAAAGAATGCCTTTCCATAAAAAAAATCGATAGATGACGAACTTGAGATCACTATTGAGGCACGCTTTCAAATAAACCAGAAATTCTAGTTCAAAATTTTCAAAATTTCGGGAAATTTTTTCAGAAAATTTGTTATTATGTGGAAATTGATGCCAACTTACTGAGAATTGTTACTAGATTACACATTTGAAATATCTGTTGCCATCTTCCTTAAACTAATGAAAAAATTCGAATCCAAAATTTCCAAAATTTTCCGAAAAACTCTTTATACTGGAATTAATCGAAGGAAAAAAATGATCTCTCATTGATGAGATGACGAGTTAAAGATAACTATCGAGGCACGTCTTCAGATGAGCTGCAAATAGTGGTTCAAATTTTTTCAAAATTTCAGGAAATTTTTTTAGAAAATTTGTAAATCTGTGGAAATTAATGCCAAGTTACTGAAAATTGTTGGTAAATTACATATTTGAAATAGCCGCTGCGATTTTTCTCAAAATAATAAAAAAATTCGAATTCAAAAGTTCCAAACATTTTCCAAAAATTTATTTAAAATTGATTTATTCGACGGGAACATAATTTGTTTTTCCAGTGAGAATTTTGGATTGATGATAAATTTGAAATCACTATTGCGACACGTCTTAAAATAAAGTTGAAATTCTAATTCAAAAATTTTCAAAATTTCAAGAAAATCGTTTAGAAAACTTATTACATAAGTGGAAATTGATGTCAACTTACAGAAAATTGTTAGAAAATTGCAAATTTGAAATAACTGCTGGAATCTTGTTTAAAATAATAAAAAATTTGAATTCAAAATTTCTAAAAATTTTACGAAAATTTAATTAAAATTGATTTAATCGAAGGAAAAGGACTGCCGTCCCATTGAGGATTTTCGATAGATGACAAATTTGAGATCTTTATTGAGCCACGTCTTCTATTAAGCTGGGAATTCTGGTTCAAAATTTTTCAAAATTTCGAGAACATTTTTTTTTTATAAATTGGAATCAAGTGGAAATTGATGCCAACTTATTGAGAATTGTTAATAAATTATAAATTTGAAATAGCTACTACAATTCTTAAAATATTCAAGAAATTCTGGTTCAAAATTTTTCAAAATTTCGGGAACATCAAAAAAAATGGAATTAAGTGGAAATTGATGTCAACTTGGTGACAATTGTTAGTAAATTACAAATTTGAAAAAGCTGCTGCAATTGTTTTAAAATAATTAAGAAATTCATATTAAAAATTTCCAAAATTTTCCGAAAAACTCATTAAATTCGAATTAATGCCCTTCCACTGAAAATTTTCAGTATATCACGAATTTGAGATCGCTAGTGCGACATTTTTATAAAATATTCACAAAAATGGAATTCACAATTTCCAAAAATGTTTCGATTTTTTTTTTAGATTAAATCGAGCGGAAAAAAACGTTAGATCAAAATTTCAGAATATATTCTTCAGAACATTTGTAATTAAGTGGAAATTGATGCCAATTTCTGAGAATTGTTAGTAAATTACAAATTTGAAATACTTAGATGTTACAATTTTTCTTAAAATAATCAAGAAAGAATGTCCCCCATTGAAAACGTTCGGTAGATGAGGAATTTGAAATCACTATTGAGGCACGTCTTCAAAAAATTTTGAAATTCTGGTTCAAAATTTTTCAAAATTTCAGGAAAAATTTTTAGAAAATTTGTAATTAAGTGGAAATTGATGCTAACTTACACCAAATTATTGTTACTAAATTACAAATTGAAAACAACTACTGCTTGACTGATCTTACTTAAAATGATCAAAAAAATCCAACTCAAAATTTCCAAAAATGTTACAAAAAATTCTGCAAAATGGATTAATTTGGCGGAAAGGCATATTATCCCATAGAAAATTTTCCATAAATTACGAATGTGAGATCACTTTTGCGGTACGTCTTCAACTAAGTTGGAAATTTTATGTCAAAATATCCAAAAAAATTTGAAAAATCCTTTTAAAAAGATGTAATTGAAAAAAATGGTCGTAAATTACAAATTTGAAAACATTGTTGCCAATCTCTTCAAAATAAGAAAAACATGTATTTTAAAATTTCCAAAAAACTCAGAAAAATGGATTTAATCGAAGGGAAAAGAATACATTGGATACGAATTTGGATAGGCTGTTGCTGCATGTCTTCAACTAAGTTAGAAATTCGGATTCAAAATTTCTAAAAATTTCAGAAACATTTTTTAAAAAACGTTTAATCAAGTGAAAGTTGATGCCAACGTACTGAAAACTTTTGGCAAATTTTCAATCACTGCTGTGATACTTCTTACAGTAATCCAAAAATTCGAATTCAAAATTTCCAAAAATTTTTTGAAAAGGATTTAATAGAGCGGAAAAGGATGCTGTTCAATAGTGAATTTTCAGCAGAAGACGAAGATAGCTGTCGCGGTATGTCTGCAAATAAGCTAAAAATTCTGGTTCGAAATTTCCAAAATTTTCCGAAAAATCTTTTAAAAGGGATTTAATTACGCAGAAAATAATGCCATCTTACAGAACATTTTCAACAGAATACTAATCTGACAATACAAAATTAACCCAACCGAATTATTAGTAAATTTAAATTTAAAATCTCTGCTGTGATACTTATGAAAATAATTAAAACTGATATTAAAAATTTCCAAAAATTTTCCAAAAATTTCCAAAAATCGTTAAAATGGGTCTAATTGAACGAAAAAAAGATGCTATCACATGAAAATTTTTACTACATTACGAATTTAAGATGGTTGTTGCATTTGGTGTTTTTAAATTATTTAGACCTTCTGGTTCAAAAATTGAAATCGAGTTCCAAAATTTTCTGGAAATGACTTTATACAATATCTGATCGAACGGAAATTAATGTCATCTTATTGAGAAACTATTCGTGGAACTTAAAATTTCAAAAAATTCTAAAAAACTCTTCAAAATGTTTCTAAGACTCTGAAAAAAGATGCCATCATCCAAAACCTTTAAATTTAGACCATTAACTTTTCAATTTATGTATAGTCTATGGTTCTAAACAAAAACTGAAATTTGTTTGTGTCACCAGGGTCCTAATTTTTGACAAATACCGCATTCCCGCCGACTGCTACCTAAACAAATATGGCGACATAACCCCCGAGGGAGACTACATCAACTACATCAAGGACGCCCAAGAAAAGCAAACCATCATCATGGGTAGTATATTTGTGGCTCGAATAGGCGTCATCGGTGCCATGGAGTGCTATGGTACCAAAGCCCTTACCATAGCCATCCGATACGCAGCCGTAAGACGCCAGTTCGGACCTTCCGACGGCGAAGAAGTTCCGATTTTGGAGTACCAATCTCACGTACCACCTTATTCTCTAGTTGTCCTATTTCTAACCACACTTTGTAGCAACATCGCCTCTTACCGTACCTATCAGTAATGTACGTCGCAAGATTCTTCAGCTCGTACTTATCAGAAATAATCGAAGGACTCTTCTTGGACTCTTCGCCAAAACAAAACGCAGAGTCCTTAAGTGCAGCAGCCGCGGAACTTCACGCCCTGTGTTCGGCTAGTAAATCTGTACTGGGGTGGATGGTCAGAGACGCGATTCAAGAATGTCGGGAAGCTTGTGGAGGTCACGGTTACCTCAAAGGTGATACAATTCAAGTTGTAAATTGTTGTTACTTTTGGGGTTGTAGTTGCCGGGATTGGACACATAAGGGATGATTTTGACGCCGTTTCTACCTACGATGGCGAAAACCACGTGCTGATCCAACAAACGAGCAACTGGTTGGTCAAATTGTGGTCCCGTGTGGAAGCCGGCGGCCAAATTTCAACACCTTTGCAAACCGCGAATTTCCTATCAGACGCTTCGAGGATTTTGAAACTCAAATTGAATGCAACCAGCGTGGAAAAAATTTCGCAACCTGAAGGTAAAGGTCTTGGTGTTAAAAAATACAACTGATTTTGTTTCCTAGACATACTACAAGCCTACCAGTGGCTCGTTTGCTACCTGGCAAAACAAACCAAAGCTAAATTGGCCACTTTGACTCAAACGCAAGGTCCGTTTTGGGCTAGGAGCAACACCCAGGTGTTCTACGCCAAAAGTTTGAGCACGGCGTTTTTGCACTACGTTGCATTGAGACACCTATTGACCAAAATCGATGCAGCTGCAAACACAGAAGTTAAAAATGTCCTGCTCAAACTCTTCTCTTTGTATGGAGTCTGGACTTTGGAAAAATTTTTGCCGACGTTGTACCAAGGTGGATACGTTCAAGGTCCTGAAGCCACGAGTCTTGTTCACGAGGCTATTTTGGCACTGTGTCACGATGTTAAAGATGACGCGGTTTCGTTGGTGGATGCCATGGCGCCCCCGGATTTTATTCTGAATTCTGTTTTGGGAGCTTCGGATGGCCAAGTATGGAAAATTTGGTTTATGGAGGTGGTGCTAATTTTTTCTTGTAGGTGTATCAGCGGCTGAAAAGTGCTATTTTTATGGCTCCGGGTGCTCTGGGCAGGCCTTCGTGGTGGCGCGAGGTGGTTACTTTGAAAAATAAGCTGTGATAATGTGGATTTTTTTGGTTGTTAAAGTTATAACTATAAAATTAGGGTTTTATTTTTTTTCGTTTTAATAAATGACAGGAAGTTGTAAAAAATAAATATTTGTGACCCCACCACCTCTCGGATACTTTAAAATTAAAATTGATGCTAATCGATTTATACATCGATTTACCGCTTCATCCATTCATCGATTCGTGGATTATTCGATTCATCGGTTTATCAATTTATTAATTTATCGGCTTATCGATTTTCAGTTTATGAACTTTTCGACTTTCGATTCTTCGATTCTTCGATTCTTCGATTTTTCGATTTTTCAATTTTTCGATTCTTCAGTTTTTCAATTCTTTAATTTTTCGTTTTTTTTTCGTGTCCCGATTTGCAAATTTACAGTTTTCGGTTTATCGACTTTCAATTTTTAAATATTTTGAATTATGTGTATTTTTAATATTTTGATTTTGCAATTTTTCTAATTTTAATTTATTGATTTTTCAGTTATTTTTAAACTCCTAGATAGTAAAATTTTTCGTTTTTCCAATTTTTCCTATTATCGTACTTTCTATTTTCTCGTTTTTCAATTTGCAATTTTCCGGTTGTTTCATTTTAAAGTTTTCAATTCTTTATTTTTTCGATTTTTCGACAGCAATTTTTCGATTTTATATGTATTTGTTTTTCTCGGTTTTAAATTTTTCGATTTTTCAACTTTTAGGTTTTTGAATGTTTCGATTTTTCATTTCTTCAACTTTTAGATATTTTAATTTTTGTTTTTTTTTTAATTTTTGGATTTTTCATTTTTTGTTTTTCCAATATGTTGATGTTTGGATTATTTAGTTTGTCGATTTTTTCTGTTTTCAATTTTTGTTTCTGAATATTTAAATTTTTCGTTTCCCAGTTTCTCGTTTTTCTAATTTTTTGTTCTCCCAATTTTTCGATTTGTAATTTTTCAAGCCTTCACAGTTTCTAGATTTTTAATTTTTTGCTTTTTCAGTATCTCGAGTAGTAATTTAATTGCTAGATACATATTTTAATTTTTCGTTTTCCAATTCTTCTATTTTTCTGCTTTTCAATCTCTCGTTTTTCAGTATGTAATTTTCCGATTTTTAAATTAAGCTTCCAGTTCTTCAATTTTAAAATTTTTCAATTTTTCGTTTTTTTAATTTTTGTAGTTACAGAGTTTCTCATTTGTAATTTTTCGCGTTTCCAATTTTTAGATTTTACATATTTTCTGTTTCAAGTTTTCGATTTTTCAGTTTCCATTTTTGGCTTTCGAATTTTCAGTTCTTCAATTTTTGGATTTATTCGGAACTTGATTTTTAATTTTTCGTTTTTTCAGTTTTTTGATTCTTCAAATTTTCGAATCTTCAGTTCATCAGTTTTGAATCTTTCAAATTTTGCAATTTTTGGAGTTTTTCGCTTTTCAATTTTTGATTATTCAAGTTTTCGATATTTCAAAAAAACTGTGTTGGTTTTTCCAATTTTTGGGTTTTTCATTTTCTGAATATTTTAATTTTTCGTTTTTCCAATTTTTCGGTTATTCGCAGTTTTTCGAGCCTTCAGTTCTAAAATTTTGAATTTCTTGGATTAAGTTGAAAAGTTTTTCAATTATCCGATATTTCTCCAAACTTCCGGTTTGCAATTTTTCGATTCGTTTTTCCAATTTATTGTTTTCCCAATTTTTCGATTTGCAGTTTTTCAGATGTTCAATACCAAATGCCTCAGTTTTCAGATGTTTCTACTTTTGAATATTTCCATTTTTCGATTATTTAAATTTTTCTTTTTTTCAGTTTCTCCATTTTTAATTTTCGGGTTTTCAGTTTCTCGGTCTAACATTTTTGAATTTGTAAATTTTTTTTCGAACATTTCGATTTTTCGATTTTTCAATTTGTTGACTCTTCAAGTTTTTAATTTTTCAGTTTGTTCATCTGTAATTTTTCGTTTTTTTTTCGTATCCCGATTTGCAAGTTTTAGAGTTCTCTATTTTAAATTTTTCAGGTTTTCGGTTTTTCGACTTTCAATTTTTTGATTTTGCAGTTATTGATTTCCAAATTTTTGCCTTTTTCATTTTTCGGTTTTAAAATTTTTCAATTTTTGAACTCCTACATTTTTAAATTTTTCGTTTTTCCAATATTTCTAATATCGTACTTTCCATTTTCTCGGTTTTCAATTTGTAATTTTCCAGGTGTTTCATTTTAAAATTTTCAATTTTTATTTCTTCGATTTTTCGACAGCAATTTTTATTTGTTTGAATTTTTCAATATTTCCAATTTTTAATAAGTACTTCAATTTTTTGTTTTTTCAACTTTTTCATTTTTAAGTTCCTGAGTTTTAATTTTTTGAATTTTTCAAATTTTCAAATTTTCGATTTTTCATTTGCTCTATTTTTTAGTTTCTCGGCTTAAAATTTTTCGATTTTTGCACTTTTAGGTTTTTGAATGTTTCGGGTTTTCAATTTTTCATTTCTTCAATTTTTAGATATTTTTCGTTTCTCGATATTTCATTTTTCGTTTTCCAGTGTCTCGTTTTTGATAATTTTTTGTTCTCCCAATTTTTCGAATTGCAATTTTTCTGTTTTCCTACTTTTCATTTTCCCGTTTTTCAATTTGCAAATTTTCTTTCTTTAATTAAGTTCGACGTTTAAATTTTTAAATTTTTCATTTCTTCGATTTTTCGACTGCAATTTTTCGATTTTTCAACTTATAAAGTTTTCATATAAGTATTCGATATTTCTTCAAATTTCGGCTTTGCAGTTTTTCGATTTTTCAGTATGTAGATTTTTAATTTTTTGCTTTTTCAGTATCTCGAATAGTATGTTTTCGAATGTGCATTTTTTCAAATTATCAATTTTCGAACTTTCGAATTTATGATTTTCCGATTTTTCAAATCTTTAATTTCTATATATGTACATGTTCTAATTTTTCGCTTTTCCAATTTTTCAATTTTTTTGCTTTTCAATCTCTCGATTTTCAGTATGCAATTTTCGGATTTTTAAATTAAGATTTCAGTTCTTCAATTTTAAAATTTTTCGTTTTTTCAATTTTCCAGCTACAAAGTTTCTCATTTTTAATTTTTCGCTTTTCTAATTTTTCGATTTCACATGTTTTTCGATTTTTTAAATACTTATCCTCTTTTTCACGTTTTCGATTTTCCAATTTCCATTTTTGAGTTTCACTGTTTTAAGTTTTTAAATTTTTCCATTTTTCAACTTTTCGATTTTTCAACTCCTCGATTTTGCAGTCTCAATTCTCAATTTTCGTGTTTTTAGTTTCTAAATTTTTCGATTTTTCAATTTTTCGAATTTTCAGTTCATCAGTTTTCAATCTTCCAAATTTTTCAATTTTTGGACTGTTTCGTTTTTAAATTTTTGATTATTCAGGTTTTCGATATTTCAAAAAATATATTTTGGTTTCTCCAATTTTTGGGTTTTTCATTTTTTGAATAATTTAATTTCTCGTTTTCCCAATTTTTCGGTTATTCTCTTTTTCGATTTGTAGTTTTTCGAGCCTTCAGTTCTAAATTTTTAAATTTCTAGGATTAAGTTGAAAAGTTTTTCAATTATCAAATATTTCTTCAAATTTTCGGTTTGCAATTTTTCGATACGTTTTTTCAATTTTTTGTTTTCTCAATTTTTCGATTTGCAGTTTTTCAAATGTTCAATACTAAATGTCTCAGTTTTCAGATGTTTCAATTTTTGAATATTTCCATTTTTCGATTATTCAAATTTTTTCTTTTTAAATTTTTCGATTTACAATTTCCAGTTTTCAGTGTCACCATTAAATTGGGAAATCGAAAAGCCGAAAAATTGCAAACCTAAAGAATCAAAAAATTGAAAAATCTGGAGCCTGAAAAATCGAAAAATTGAGGAGCTGAAAGACTGAAAAATCGAAACCTTGGCAAGTCGAAAATGGGAAATCAAAAAATAGATTAATCGAGAAATCGGAAAACTGAAAATTCAGAAACGCCAAAACTTGAAAATTTAAAAATTTGGAAAATTGAAAAATCAAAAAATAAAAAATTCGGAAATGAAAAAAGAAAAATTAAAATATACTAGAACTGAAAACTCGAACAATTCAGAAATCGAAATACATATATATAAAACAGTCGAAAATTGAAAAATCTAAAGTTTAAAAAACGAAAAACTGAAAATTCAAAAAATTAAAAATCGAAAAGTCGAAAAATAGAAATATTGAAAAATCCCAAAACTGAAACAAATATCCAAAATTGAGAAATTAAAAAATTAGCCAACCAAAAAATCCAAAAATCGAAAAATTGAAGAACTGAAAAATCGTAACTGCGAATTCGAAAAACGGGAAACTGAAAATTTAGCAACGTCAAAATTTGAAAAATTGGAAAATAGAAATATTGAAGAACTGGAAAATCAAAAAATTCAGAAATCGAAAAATCTAAAATTTAAAACATTGAACAATTGAAATATCGCAAAATTGAAAAATGGGGAAATCCAAACATCAAAGAATCAAAAAAGAAAAATTTGAAAATCTAAAACTTAAAAATCGAAAAACTGAAAAATCGACAAATCAAAACTCCAGGATTTAAAAAAATTGAAAAATCGGATAACTGAAAAATCGAAACATCGAAAAATTGGAAAATCGGAAAACTGAGAAATCCAAAGATCGAAACATCGAGAAATAGAAAAAAATAGAGAAATTGATAAATTGAGAAATTGAACAATCAAAACATCCAAACATCTGAATTCGATAAATGGAGAAATAAAAAAAAATCGAAAAATTTAAAAAAAGAAAAATTAAAACATCGAAAAGTTGAAAAAAAGAGAGTATAAAACTCTCAAAAATTTGAAATATCTAAAGTTTAACGAAAACTTGAAAATCCAAAAAGTAATAAAGGGGTGGAAATCCAAAAACTGCAAACTGGAAAATTTAAAAATTGGAAAATCGACGAATTGGAATCTATTGGCCTGAAAATTTGAAAAATTGAATAAACGAAAAATTGGAAAATCGAAAGACACAACAAAAATTAAGGAAATGAAAAAAAAAATTGGGATATAAAATCGAGAAAATGAAAAATAAAAAATCAGGAAAATGCAAAATAAAAATCGGGGAGTTAAAAAATTGAGAGGACGAAAAATTGAAAAAGGGAAAAATTAAAAATCGAGAATGTGAAAAATCGAAAAATGAGAAATTGTAATATTGAAAAATTGGAAAATTTGGTAGTCGACAAACTGTAAAATTGAAAAATCGAAAATAAAAAAACGAAAAAGTGTAAGTATAATAAAAACTTGAAAAATGTAAAAAGTGAAAATCAAACTTGAAAATTTGAAGAAAAATTGAAAAAAATCTGAAAATCAAAAAATTTAATAAACGAAAAATTGTAAAATCGAAAGAAACATCAAAAAATAAAGGAAATGAAAAAACGAAAAATTGTCAAATAAAATCGGAAAAGTGAAAATTAAAAAATCGGGAAAATGAAAAATAAAAATCGGAAACAACAAAATGGAAAAGGGAAAAATTAAAAATTGAGAAACTCAAAAATCGAAAAATAAAAAACTGTAATATTGAAAAATTGCCAAATTGAATAACTGATGAAAACCGAAAAATTGAAGGAACGAAAAATTGAAAATTTTGGAAGTCGAGAAATTGTAAAATTGAAAAATCAAAAATAAAAAACGAAAAATTACAAAATGAAAACTTGAAAAATCTTAAGCATCGAAAAAGTGAAAAATCAAAAAAAAAAGAAATATGTATTATGAAATAGAAATATTGAAAATTAAAGAAATTGGAAAATCGGAAGACTGGAAATCCAAAAACTGTAAAGTGAAAAATTTAAAAATTGAAAAATGGACAAACTGAAAATTCAAAGCCTGAAAATTTGAAAAATTGTAAAAAACACAGAAAATAAAGGAAATAAAAAAACGGACAATTGTGATATAAATCGAAACATTGAAAAATAAAAATCGGGAACATGAAAAATTGTGGAAACGAAAAATTGAGAAACTGAAAATTTAAAAAATTGACGAAACGAAAAATTGAAAAATCGAAAGAAACAACGAGAACTAAAGGAATTGAAAAGATGAAAATTTGTGACATAAAACTGAGAAAATAAAAATTTTAAAAAATCGGGAAAATGAAAAATAAAAATCGAGAACTTGAAAAATTGAGGAAACGAAAAATTGAAAATGACAAAAATTAAAAACTGAGAATACAGGACATTTTAAATGGGATGAAACCTGTCCCAAACCAGGCCGACTGATACCGCCTTAATACATTTTCGAATGCTCATTTAAAATTTCTCAACTTTCCAATTTTTCAACTTTTGGACTTTTTCGGTTTTCAAATTTTTTATTTTTCTGTTTTCGAAATATTTAATTATTCAGATTTTCAGTATTTCAGAAAAAATCAATTCATCAACTAGTTCTGGATTCAGGAATACATACATTCTGCCTCGGTATGTAATATATGTAATATTATTCACTCAAAGAAATGATCTCAACATTATATTTTATTCATTTGTTGTATAATATTTATTATCTAAGACTCTTCAATAATATAGTCGTTATTCGCGTAACCATACGAATAATATAATCATACTCATAAAACACTTGTATTTTATGGATTGTATTCACTAGCGGTGTTTTATTGGTTGCCTACTTATAGATATATAAAAAAAAGAAATTGTTATAACTTCGAGCTAAGCATTTATTGTTAAAAAAAATTGAAAGTTTGAGAATTGCACAAAAATGCTTCGTGTCCTGTAATGTTGGTTGTCTATTTGTGACGGATGATTCAAGGTATCTAGAGCTTTACCTCTAAATACCTTGGGATGAATGCTTACTTCCGTCAAGAATTTGGACATCGACACCCTGAGGGGAATCCACCTCAAGATATTCAACTAACAATCCCGATAATTATATCTAATGATTTTAAGGTTAAAGGAGGGTTGAATCGCAACCCAAAATCGTTTTGAAAATATTGGAGAAATAACAATAAACAAAAAGCTATCCGAATGTAACGAAATTAAATAAAACTTCATCTTCCAAACTTGAGGTTTATAATTTTTTTGCAGTCTATAAATTATCACAAATGACCAAATTAATGTCGAGTATCGAGTATTTGGATGTTGCAACACTAATCAATCGCTAGGTATGTAATTATGTTATCGTAACAATAATAATAGTAATAAATAGTCCACGGTCACTTTCTTGGACATTATTTATTTAACAAATTATTATTAATGACGCACAAATTAATAATATATTACTTACTATAAATTCGTAAGTTATTAAACTGATCATCATTCATTAGCTCAACCTACGCACATTAAAAATGTCTCACTTATTGCAAGACTTTCCTCAGGGACCGCTCGACTATTACAGGAAGCAAGCCTCTTTCGACTGGAAGAAAATGAAGGTTTTTATAGACACGGAGGACGGTATCAAATTTCAGGTAAATATAGTCAAAAGAATTCAATAGTCACTATGATAATAAATTAAAATTCGAACACAGAATAAAGAAAAATTGGGCACTTAGTATTCAAATGTCTAACTTACAGAACAATCTCTACGAAAAACTCCTGATCCACTCTGAATTCCAAAAAAACCCAGCTCTGCAAACTCTGAACGAAAAAAGATGCATAGCTACCCGACAAGCCCTAGCCTACGCCACCATCGTTAAGTCTTTAACCCCCAGCGAAATAACCACCACAAAAAAAGAAGACATCATTTTGAGAACGATACTCCAATTGAGTCCTTCGGCAGCCTTCAAGTATCCAGGAACCAAGCGTTTATTCACCAGTGCTTTGCAAAGTCAAGGAACTAGTAGACACCACAAATTCCTACAAGAAGCAGAATCGGGAAAGGTTCGTACATCGTACATTACCTTAAAATCTTAAATGTAATTGAACTCTCTAGATCTATGGATGCTTTTGTATGACGGAAATCGGCCACGGAAGCGACACCAAGAATTTGAGAACAACTGCTACCTACGATAAAGACAAAGACGAGTTCGTGGTGAACACGCCGGATTTTCAGGCAGCGAAATGCTGGGCCGCTGGGTTAGCAGAACTGGCGACCCATGCTATAGTGTACGCGCAGTTGTACATAAACGGGGACCATTGGGGCTTGCATGGGTTCGTCGTTCCCATCAGAGACCCCCAGACACTCCTGCCGTACGAAGGGGTAATTCTGGGCGACATGGGCGAAAAAGTAGGAGTCAATGGAGCTGATAATGGGTTTCTAATTTTTGACAAATACCGCTTCCCTCGCGAAAACCTCTTGAACAGATTTGCAGACGTTACATCTAAAGGAAACTACGTAACTTCTGCTGCTGACCAAAAAGACGTACGTGGAGCAATTTTGGGCGCTTTGTCCATTGCGAGGGTTACTGTAACTGCGAAATCTGAATTTTATGGAACGAAAGCGCTTACTATCGCTGTAAGATACGTGGCTGTTAGAAGACAGTTCGGTCCGAAAAATCAAGAAGTGTCGATTCTAGAATACCAATCTATGGTAAGTTTTTACCTAGTTTGATTATATTCAAACAAAGTTTGCAGCAATATCGACTTTTGCCGTACTTGGCTGCCGCTTACGTCGTCAGATTCTTCAGTACGTACTTAGACGAAGTGACGCAAGAGTTTGTCAAAGACTCCAAGAAGCAGAACGACCCATCGCTGGCTAGACGTGGTATGGAAATCCACGTGATTTCGGCGGGTGCAAAGCCTGTGTCCGGATGGACGTTTAGAGATGCCATACAAGAATGTAGAGAAGCTTGTGGTGGACATGGCTACCTCAAAGGTAAAACACCTCAAAATTGTTTCATAGTTGAAAAATTGTCGTAGCTTCTGGAATTGGCGACATCAGGAACGACCAAGACAGCGTCAACACATACGAAGGCGAAAACCACGTGCTAATCCAACAAGTAAGCAATTGGTTACTGAAAATCCAGAATGGTGACAAAGTTTCGACTTATTTAAAATCAGCCGATTTCATATCAAACGCTTCAAAAATTCTCAAAACTAAGTTCAACGCAAGCAGTCTAGACGAAGTTTGCAAAGTTGAAAGTAAGTCGTCGATAGTTGAAACGGAAACGATAATATTTGGTTGTACTTAGATATAATAGACACCTACCAGTGGCTCGTGTGCTATCTCTTACGAGAAACTAAACAAAAATTTGACTTGCTGAAACAACGTGAAGGGTCATTTTGGGCCAAAAGCAACACGCAGATTTTCTACTGCAAAAACTTGAGCATAGCGTTCGTTCAGGTAAATCGAACATTATCAAAAATCGTTGATCAGTGTTTCGAATTTGCAGCATTTGTTTCTTCAACGAATGTTAACGGTTATAGACACAGCACCAGATGTTAACACCAGAAATGTTTTGTTGAAACTCTTCTCTCTGTATGGTCTCTACAATATTGAAAAGTTTTTACCGTCACTGTTTGGGGGTGGTTATGTTCAGAATTATAAAGCTACAAATTTAGTGCACGAAGCTGTATTAAAATTGTGCAAAGAACTTAAAAATGATGCTGTGGCTTTAATAGATGCTTTAGCACCTCCGGATTTTGTTTTAAATTCCATTTTGGGGGAGTCTGACGGACAGGTAAGACGAAGATAAATGTAGTTTCGAAATAACGACTTTTTTAGGTCTATCAAAGGTTACAGAATGCACTTGTTGGGTCTTCTTATGAAGCGAATAGACTCAAGTGGTCCGGCGAGGCTGTTAGTAACATCATCGATCCCCGGAATAAGTTGTAACTAGAGTATTACCTCAATAATCCGAATTAATTGGGGAAAAGGTGTGTTCGGTTTAGCGAATTTCCCAAAAATCTGGAAGAGAATTGAATAATAATTTCATACATTGCTAAAAACAAACTTCAAGAAATAAACCTTAATTTTTCGATTTTTGATGTTTTGATTCGGCCAATTTTTGACATTTTCGCAACTTAGCTAAATGCATTTTCTGGTAGATATCGAGCTCTAGAACTCACTTCCGGCATCGTTTCTTTGATAACTGCAACCGTGTTTCTGGAATCGACCGTTGAAATATCGAAATTTTTCGAAATTGTCAAAAATTCGCATTTTGTACCGATTTTTCGAAAATGTTGCTGCGTGACCATCGACACCCTATATTTTTGGAATCAGCATATCAAGATGAAAGTCCCTGAATTTTTTCATAATTTTTAGACAACTTTCTTAAAACTGAAATTTTTCCAATGGTCCCCCCTTCTTTAAATTTCGGCCAATTTTTTACATTTTCGAAACTTAACTAAACCCATACATACCTTCTAAGAAAAGAGAGGGTGGGTGGGCGGGGCCAATACGTGTTAAGACTGATTCAAGTTTTCGACTTCTCGAACTTTCGATTCGAAGTGCCGATTTTTCAAGTTCTCGATTTTTCGACTTTGGCATTTTTTTGATTTTTCGTTCCAATTTTTGATGTTTTCTGTTTCCGATGTTACAATTATTTATCAAATATTTCAATGTCCCGATTTTTCGGATTTTCGATTTTTGATTTCGCTTTTTCAACTTTCTGATATTTCGATTTTTGAATTTGTCGACTTCAGTTTTTCAGTTTCTTGATTTTTCAACTTTTCGATACCTCGATTTTCTAAGTTTTTAAAATTCCAATTTCTCGATTTGGATTTTTTGGCCTTCACATATTTCAATCTTATGTTTTTTCAATTTTTGGAGTTGTCGATTTTGCTATAGGTATATTTCAATTTCTTGAGTCTTAAATTATTCGATATATCTATTTTCCGAGTTTTCGAATTTTCAGTTTTCGAATATTTGAATTTTTTGATTATTCTCATTTGCTAAAATCAGTTTTATCTTAGCAAGTACTAGCCCCGCCCACCCACCCTCTCTTTTATTACAAAATTTTGCATCTGCCAAAATCAGCCTTATGTTAGCAGGTACCAGCCCCGCCCTCCCACCCTCTCTTTCTTAGGGGATATCTCATTTTCCAAAACCAGTTTTTGCTTTTTTCGTTATTTCGACTCAATTTTTCAATTTCTCGACTTTTGGTGTTTTCTGTTTTTGATTTTTATCAAATATTTCAATGTCTCGATTTTTTTACTTTTTGATATTTGGATTGTTGTTTTTTGTGTTTTCGATTTTTTGACTTTCAAATATTTCAATTTTACGATTGTTCGACTTCGATTGTTATAAACAGTTAATAATATGTAGGATATATAATAGTCCCTTTAAATTCTGCCAATAAGATGTTCCCATCAGATTATCTCCTAGTAAAAAAATTACCGAAAAGTAACATCTGAAATTAAATTGGTACTTGCTAATTATTATAGACGAATTTATAGAGATTTTTATCATTTTTTTGGGAAAAGTGTGCTTCTCGTGGCCAAAAAATTTATTTATAAGGAAAACGCTCTTTTATGTTGGTAATCGGTCTTTTCAACAAATTAGTAAACAAATTTTTCTATTTTATAATTTTTGGGTCTTACCATTTTTGAATTCGATTCATTTATTCTTCTTTCCAATTTTTCAATTTTTAAATTTCTCTATTTTTAGTTTTTAAATGTTCAATTTTTCGTTCCTTTTTTGGTCACATTTTTATCGTTTTTTTTTTGCCCTTTTTTTAAATCGTTTTTTGGTATCCTTTTTGTCCCGTTTTTTGTTATTTTAATGGCTTTTGTCAGGTTCTTTATCGTTTTTGGTTGTTCTTTATCGTATTTTTTTTAGTACATTTTTCGTTTTCTGGATTTTTTGAACTTTTTAAATCGTTTCTGACGGTTTTTTCCGCCTTTTTTGTTGTTTTTAGGCGTCTTTTTGGTAGCTTTATGTAGCTTTTCTATGGATTTTTTCGCCCTTTTCTTAATTGCTTTCGTGTCGATTTTTCTTCTCAACTTATTCTGTCTACTTTTTGTCGTACATATTTTTGTGGAGATATTTCTTGTGTCTTCTGTAGTGTTCGTTTTTTATTGTCTTCTTTTATTGTACTTCTTTTCTTTTCTTGTTTGTTATCTCTTGTTTTTTGCCATTTCTAAGATGTTTTTTTTTGTCGCCGTTTTTAGTTGTCGTATTTTTTCTCCCTTTGTTTTTCCTCTTTTTTGTGTGTCTTTTTTTGTTATGAATTTTGTCGTTTTATTTTGTTGTGATTTTAGTCCTTTTTGTGGATTTTTTGGTTCTATTGAATCGTTTTTTCTTCCCTCTTTTCTTTGACAGTTTTTTTCTTCTTTTTTATGTTTGTTTTTTTTAGTCTTGCTTTAGTGCACTTTTTTAATGGTCGCATTTTTTGTTGTTTTTTGCAGAATTTTTGGCCCTTTTTATCCTTTTTGGCCCTCTTATTTTTCTCCTCTTTTGCTGTTTATTTTCCGATTTTTCGTTCTTTTTTTGGATCACCTTCTTTATCGCTTTTTTTTTTGGTGGCTTCTTTGTGGATTTTTTCACCCCTTTTTTAATCGCTTTCATGTCAGCTTATTTTGCCTTTTTGTCTTTTTTGTGGATTCTTTACTGTTTTTATGTCGTTCCTTGGTCGTTTTTTTATTACTTTTTTCGCCCCGTTTGCGTTTCTTTTTTGTCATCGACTTTTTGCAATTTTTTGTTGTTTTTCATTGTCTTTTTTTTGGCATCATTTCTCCTTTTTTCGGCCAATATTTGACATTTTCGAAACTTAACTAAATGCATTTTCTGGTAGATTTCGAGCTCTAGAACTCACTTCCGGCCTCGCTTCTTTGATAACTGCAACCGTGTTTCCGGAATCGGCCGTTGAAATATCGAAATTTTTAGAAATTTTCAGAAATTCGCATTTCGTACCGATTCTTTCGAAAATATTGCTCCGCAACTATCGACACCCTATATTTTTGAAATGAGCGTGTCGAAATCTAGGTCCCTGAATTTTTTCAGAATTTTTAGACGACTTTTTTTAAAAGTGAAATTTTTCCAATGGTCCCCCCTTCTTCAAATTTCGGCCAATTTTTGACATTTTCGAAACTTAACTAAATGCATTTTCTGGTAGATTTCGAGCTCCAGAACTCACTTTCGGCCTCGCTTCTTTGGTAACTGCAACCGTGTTTCCGGAATCGACCGCTGAAATATCGAAATTTTTAGAAATTGTCAAAAATTCGCATTTCGTACCGATTCTTTCGAAAATGTTGCTCCGTGACCATCGACACTGTATATTTTTGGAATAAGCGTGTCGAGATCTACGTCCCTGAATTTTTTCAGAATTTTTAGACGACTTTTTTTAAAAGTGAAATTTTTCCAATGGTCCCCCCTTCTTCAAATTTCGGTCAATTTTTCACACTTTCGAAACTTAACTAAATGCATTTTCTGGTAGATTCCAAGTTCTAGAACTCACTTCCGGCCTCGTTTGTTTGATAACTGCAACTGTTTTTCCGGAATTTACCGTCGAAAAATCGAAATATTTAGAAATTTTCAAAAATTCGCATTTCGTACCGATTCTTTCGAAAATGTTGCTCCGTGACCATCGACACCGTATATTTTTGGAATCAGCGTATCGAGATCTAAGTCCCTGAATTTTTCCAGAATTTGTAGACGACTGTTTTAAAAGTGAAATTTTCCCCTTCTTCAAATTTCGAACAATTTTTGACATATTCGAAACTTAACTAAATACATTTTTTAATAGATATCGAGCTCTAGAACTCACTTCCGGCCTCGTTTCTAGGATAACTGCAACCGTTTTTCCGGAATCGACCGTTGAAATATCGAAATTTTTAGAAATTGTCAAAAATTCGCATTTCGTAGCGATTCTTTCGAAAATGTTTGCTCCGTGACTATCATTACCCTATATTTTTGGAATCAGGGTGTCGAGATCTACGTCACTGAATTTTTTCAGAATTTTTAGTCAACTTTTTTAAAAGCGAAATTTTTCCAATGGTCCCCCCTTCTTCAAATTTCGGCCAATTTTTGACATTTTCGAAATTTACGTTCCTGAATTTTTTCAGAATTTTCAGACAACTTTTTTAAAAGTGGAATTTTTCCAATACTTGCTAAGACTGATTTTGGCAAATCACATACCTTGCAAGAAAATATAGGGCGGGTGGGCGGGGATAGTACTTGCTAAGTATGAGAGTATTGAAATATCGGACTTTTGAGAAAGTTTGCAAAAAATTCACAAAAAAATTCCAGGATATAAATTTCGGCGTACATATTTATTCAAAAAGATATTAAATGCTCCCTGAAAAAAATCCCTTTAAAAGTTAATTTAAAAAAATATATATATTTAAAATAGCCATATTTCTTTTGACGATTCTGCAAAATGAAAGGAGTTTTTGAAGAATTGAGAGTGAAAAAGTTGGTAATTTACAGAAAATCTTTTTCGGTAATGTTCGAAGTTGGTCAAAAAAAAACTGAAATTTTCAAAAGGCGGAGTATTGAATACACAGCTTTTCAAAAAGTTTGTTAAAAAATTTAGAAACAAATTTCGCGATATAGATCTCGACGTACTGATTACAAAAAATAATTTGTTTATTTATTTATTTATTTATCTCATTTGCCAAAATCACTCTTATCATAACAGGTACCAGCCCCGCCCACCCACCCTCTCTTTTCTTGGAAGGTATATATCATTTGCCAAAATTAGTTTTATCTTGGTAGATATTAGCGCCGCCCACTCACCCTCTCTTGTCTTAGAAGGTACATACGTCATTTGCCAAAATCAGCCTTATCATAGTAGGTACTAGCCCCGCCCACCCACCCTCTCTTTTCTTAGAGGGTATGTCATATGCCAAAATCAGTTTTATCTTAGCAAATACTGATGACTAATTTTTACAAAA